CTGCTGACTGGGAAATACAGGAGACAGAGATCACAGCAGGAGACCCTGTTGAGGGTGCTCATCTTTCTCTAAGTAACTGAGTAAATAAATAAAAGTAAATAAACTTTTTAGAAAAATAAATCGTATTTCAAGAAATCGAAGACAGATTGAAAAATAAATTTGTATTAACCCTGGAATACTGGAATGAGTAAATTGGTAAGTTGGTTTTTTCAAGGAGATACTATCTGGATTAAAAAGTTTACAGTGAGCAGAAGAAAACAGCTTGTAGAGTGGGTGGCTGAACAGGGGACAAAGAAAGACCTTCCTTCTTCAGATTCCAAATGCACGGACACTCTTACAGTGCACTCAGTACCCTTCTTTAAAAATGTCCGTCACACAAGATGCATGACTTATTTCTGTGAGCAGATAAGAACTAAGAAAATTTGAGAGAACTGAAGTAGTATCCAGCATTTCTATGAGAGTCAGGTCTTGTAAGAGTAGTGTCAAGAAAAAGAAGCCTTTTCTTCCCATCCATTTTATCTTGTAGGTCCCCGGGGGTGAAAGCCTTAAGTATCACAGCAGGAGATCAATTTCAGGTAAAGAGAGCAGAGAAACAGCTGCCTCACCTCAGGCTAGTAGGTCCCTTTCTATGAAGTCAGAAAGCCTCCTTCCCAGGGCTGTGATTTTTCCCAGGGGCATGAAATCAAATCTATTTTCAGGTCCCCTGTTTGTTTTTATGTTTTGTTTTGTTTTTGCCTGTGGATTGCCTCTCACATACAAGAAATTGTCCATTTGAGACTTTCAATGTCTGTGAATAATGCCTCTGATTCCAGATATCAGACGACCCTACCTGTTCACCCTGTCTCTCCAAAATCTCCACTGACAAAAGAATGAAAAGGTAAAAAGGGATGATGATTAAAGAGAAATGAAATTCACAGAAAATAAAATAAAATCTTTGAGAAGACTGTAATACAAGTTGTAATGAATAATACTTCAGTCTGACATCAAGGGATGGGAATCAGGGGCTTCAAGAGCGAGGAGGTTGAAAAGCAGTATAAAAACCACATACTTGTAATGGGTATGTCGCTGGACTCCCGTGTAGTTGACCACGGTTCAAGTCCCGGACCCGGTGGCTTAAATTCACACCAGGCGCGTGTGCGTGCGTGCCCAAGATCCCAAGAGGAGAATGGAGGAGAAGGGATTGTAGCATGGCCATCCCACTTCTCTGTCTTTCTCTGTCTCTCTGGCAAGCGCACATGCCCTATGGAAAAAAACCTCTCCAAAAAAAGAAGGAAAAAAAATATTCTAAAAGACTACAAAATTAACATATTTTCATTGCTGTATTTATTTTCTCCTACTTCTGTAACAAATTATCACAAAATTAGTGATTTAAGAACAGCACAAACTTATTTTACAGTTGTGTGGATTAGAAATAATTCAACCCAGGTCTCATTTGGGTTAAAAATCAAGGTGTGGGTAGGACCACATCCTTCTCAAAGGCTCCAGGACTCAATCTGTCTTCTTGCCTTTTCTAGCTGCTGGAGGCCGCCCACATTCCCTGGCTCATGGCCTGTCCTTCCACCTTCAAAGGCAACAATGTCTCATCTCTTTGATCTTTCTTCCACAGTCTTATCTCCTTCTAACACTGCAAGGAACGTTAATTTTAATAACCCATGTGATGAGACTGAGTCTACCTCAAGATCCAGTATAATCTTTCTATCTTGGCATCCTTAATTAAGTCACATCTTAGAGGCCAACTGTTGAAAAACAGACCTACTCTAAAAATAACACAGCAAATACCTGTAGTTGCATAGACCTTCATTCTTACAACATGAAGGAAGAACAAGAAGGATAAAGTAAGCAATGTAAACAATAAACATAGAAATGAATGTTAAAAACCCTACACAAAAAGAAACAGAAATTCCAAAAATAAAACAAAATAATCAAAATATCTAATTAGAGCCAGCAAGTGTCAGTGGAGGTAAGGCACTGGATCCCACATGGCCAACCACAAGAGTTTGCATCCTGAACCTGGTGGCTTGAAACTCGCACTGGACTCATGTTGCATGTGTGCGCCAAGCCCTGAGGAAACTGGAGGAGAAAGGACTGAGCCACGCCATCACCTTAGGGTGATTTCTCGTTTTTCCTTTCTCTCTCTCACAACCACCCATGCCCTATAGCACCAAAAAACTAAAAAACTAAATTTTTTGTCGGCATCTGCCCCAGGGCTTGGGTCTGGCTGAATCATGATCAGAGGGCTGCTGCTGAGGAAGAGAAAGAGGACGAGAAAGAGAAAGCCCTCCATCTTGCCAGGACCGGGGAATTGGAAAGAACGAGACAAAGGGTTAGAGTAGAAATGGACACAGGCAGCCTGAGCCTAGGTAGCCCAAGCAACTTGTGCCGCCCAGACAAACTGGACGTCTTTATTTATAGTACAAGGAGACATTACACATGTATGTTTCATGACCCTTCATGGATTAGTTGCCAGGTTACAGACAATAAGAAGCAGTTAACAAATCTATAAGGGATTAGTCATACCCAGGGCAAGGTGTATCCCTTGGTGGTAATCCCATCTAGAGCAAATCTCATCTTCCTTTCTAATGCAAAGAACTAGCTGTTAGGTATGGGGAAGGAGCTAAAGAACTTCTCCATAAGGAGAGCACCACCACACCCAGAGAAGTCTAAAGAACCTTTCAGATGCAGAGCAGGGATTGGATTTTACTATTTGGGGTCAAGATGTTTCTTGAAGTCCATCAGATGTGTCTGTTGGAACGCCCCTAGTAATTTCCACCCTTGCTCTGTCTGCAGCCAAGGTCAGGGAAAGACAAGTTACAAGGTTCTGCCAAACCCCAAAAGAGCATGTGGTGTTTGCTCAGCACATGTCCCCACATTTCCCCCTTTTTTGTTTCCACAATTTTTTATTTTAAAAACTAATTAATATATTCTGAAAGATTCAACAAGGAAGATTTAACAATAAGATTTAACAAGAGTTCTTAAAGACTAAAATATTGTTGCTATAACTTTTTTGAAAAAAAATGAGTGGATGGTCTGAAAAACAAAAGTAAGAAAATCGGGACATAGAAGAAAAAGAGTCAAAAATATATTAAAATATAATGCTACATAGAAAATCAGTCTTGGAGATAAAACAAGAAATAATATTTGTTTTAGAAAAAGAAAACAAAAGAGATTTATAAAATAAGTGACAGAACATATATTCTCACAACTGAAGAACATAGCATCTTAAAAGGAGCTGACAGGTGGTATGATGGTTAAAGCACTGGACTCCCACATGGTCAACCATGGTTTGAGTCCCAGACCCAGTGGCTTGCTTTCTCACTTTCCCTTTCTCTCTCTCTCTCTCCCTCTCTCTCTCTCTCTTTCTCTCTCTCTGTTTCTCTATGGTCAAATTTAAAATAATGAAAAACAATTCTTTAAAAAACAAACAGGATGCAAAATGTGGCTATTACAGAATTTTTTTAAAAAAAGACATATTTAAATATATTTAAGCAAAAATTTAGAACACCAAGGAGAAGAAAAATAAATCCTAGAAATGTGTGGAGAAAAAGGTAAAAAGAATTACTAGTGAGGGGAATAAAGTATAACATTGGCATTAGATTTCTCATCAGTATCAATAATGTTAAAAGACTCTGATGAAAAATTACCTGGGAAACTAGAATTGCAAATTGAACTTACCATAGGAGCTGATGGACTTTCTACTAGGAATATAAGATTTCATTTAATCCCTGGGTTTTACTACAGCATCTGACTCTACCCACAGATGTCTCTGCTATTCCGTAATCCAAAAGCCATCTACTTCTAAATATCACAGAGAAGAACTTCAATCTTCTGCCAGATTTGAGGGTGGCTCATGGCCTGAAGCACAGCACAGTGAAGGACGGAGGCAGGTTATACTGGGTTCTAACTGCTCCTTACTGAGTCTAGTCTTTCAGTTCTGTTCCTTTCCCATCAACCTTTTCCATTCAGTATCATTTTCCCCAGAGTAACTACTGCTTCCAATTCTTGAGTATTTCTAGAATGTCACAACGTAAAGAAGACTGCTCCTCTCCGCTGTCTCCACTGCAGGCACACTGTCATGGAGAATTTGAGCCTGAGTGTTTTCCCTGTCGACTCTCTGGGCATTGCCCATCTGTCTGAGGACTGGCTTTACAAAGTCACTTAATCAAGATATAGCAGGGAGGAGAAAAGGGGAGAAGGAATGTGAGCAGGATTTGGACATGAGCTGCTTCTTCAAAGATGTGTTAGTTTTCTCTCTTTATCTGAGAGCTCTAGTCCTTGTCTGCTATTTGATTTGCATCAGGACGAACCATGACAAACCTAACTTCCCTTCCATATTTTATCTATATGTGGAATTCTGTTCCTTGTCCTTCCTCCCTTCTATTTCTTCTTTCCTTCATAAATAGTTCCTTTGGAGTTCTTCCCTGCATTCCCTATAAAGTAACCCTCTTTCTGTCAGGGAGTCATTATGGAAGATGCAATGTCATTTATCTCATGGTGTGTTCGTAAAGAGAAAACAACGTACATCAGTGTTTCCTTGGGTGACTTCGGTCAAAGCACTAGGGCTGGGTTCAGTAAGGAGGAGACAGAGATCACTTCACTGATCATTGGTTAAGGATGCCAGACCCTGTTTCTCGTTTCTACAATGGAGAGGTAAGAACGGGCATATTCACTTTCTGTTCTTCTGCTGTGTGCTTAGAGATGATCTGGGTGATCTTCCCATTTGCCGGAGTGCCTGAGAGTAGACGGCAGACCTTCCTGACACCAGGGTGAGTCATTAGGCTCAGTCCTCAGCAGCTAGGTCTGCTGTGTCACTGGGGTTTGTGCTCAGCTTTCCTGCAGTCCCTCTCCCTTGGCATGGCTCACAGCACAGCCCCTCCTGATGCTTAGACTGAAGGTTTCTCCCATTAAAGGTGTTTTGTTTTGTTTTTCTTCATGCAGCTTCAAAATCTTGTTGCTTCTATTCTCATTTTCCTTTGTAGTGCTAAAGAAGAGCTTCAAAGTTTCACCAGGCTCCTGAACGTACCTGAAAAGTGTGGGTACGCTGTGTCAGCATTGAAGAGTATATGATAAGGACAAAGCTTTCCGCAAAGGTCTTTGACTTTCTATCTAAGTCACTGAGTTTCCACTGTTCTGTAGGCAAGTTCAAGTTCACACCACTCACCACACAACAGCCAATTAATTAAGAGACAGCTGTTGGGAAAGGAAAGCAACTTTATTCAGAAAGCCAGCAAACTGAGAAGATGGCAAACTTGAGTCCTAAAGAACCATCTTTTTAGAGGGCAGAATGCAAGCTATTTTTATGTTAGAGGAAGAGAATAAGAATGGGAGGAGGGAAGAGTGAGGTCTGGAGGTGACTGGTGACCACAGACTTCTTGAGTGTCAGTGAGGGTCTGGGGAAGCTGTAAATTTCTCTGTTCTTCCCTGCTTACTCAAGATGATATGAATTAGGTCAGGATGTCTCTATAAATCTTAAACAATCATTATTTTGTACATACTTCCTTTTTCTCCTTGGAGAGATAGTCTGCACAATTTTGGCTGGAGCAGGACTTCTTTAATGATTAACATGTCTACATACAAAGCTAAGTAAACACTGCTAACCTAAAATAGAAAAGGCAAGCTTGAGAAGAGACAAGGTGGAGTCACAAAGGCCAGTCTTTTCACACTGTTAAAATTCCCTACGAGGTTCATTCCACAATCTCGTGGGGTTCATTCCACAATCTCATGGGGCAGAGACAAACGGATGTTGTTTCTCATCTGGTTGGCCTCTGTCCCTTGAGGTTGTCTTTGAAGATTAATTATCTTGCTCTTGAACAAAGACTCAAACATACATAATCACATTTGATCATAGTGCTCACTGGACCAGGCTGTCAGGGTTGGGTTACTGACACACTGGTGACTATTCAAAGTAAAACTAGGCTAGTGACTAGCTGTCTGACTAAGAGCAAACTTAAAAAGCACTTCTTAAACCATTAACATTCAGGGTCAGTAACATTTCCTCCTGGGAAATAAAAGGCTGCATATTGCCCTGTGTATGAATTGGACAGCATTGTTAATTATTATATTGACATAACAGATTAGAAGAATTTTGAGAGATATTCTATCTACCAAACTTAAAAACTTCCCAAATATTAAGAATATCATAAAAACGGGGCCTGGTAAAATTTCCATCTTTAAAGCCTTTGGTATTCTCAATTTTCTTCTTTTTTTTCCTTTCTTGTTTTTTTTTTTTTTTTTTTTTCCCCCTAGAAGGTGCATACACTCACCAGAAAGGGACAGAGTGACAGAAAGACAGAGAGACCGACAGACAGATAAGGCATTCCCTGAGGGTATATAATCACTCCACAACCCCTTTCAACTTTTCCAACCTCTCAGGATTTGGGGCATGCATGTGTACCTGGCATGCTTCTCAGTCCACTGGGCTAGGATTTCAACTGCAGTTGGCCATGTAGGATCTGGGCCAGCCCATCCTCAATTCTTAACTGCATAGCAAGAAAAAATGTGGTCTCACTAAAATGCTAAACATGAGCCTAGGATTTCAGCAGATGTAGTTGTTTTCAGAAGCTATGTTCCTATGGGCAAGTGACTTCACTGGAAGGAAAGTTTCCTGGTTTCCTCCCAAAGGACAGTGCCACCTATTCACCTCTCACCTCATTTTTAAGCCATATTCAGATTAAGATGACCCTTTTCAAATCTGAGGAACAGCCATTGGTATCCCCCCAAGGCATGTTTTATTCTCAAGGCACTGTCTGTGTTAACCAGAGTTCTCCAGAGAAAGAGAACCAGTAGAATGGAGAATATACATTA